CTTTGCATCTCTCAGATGATGGAGAGCACCCCCTCAAGGGGCGGACTGAACCGAGTCCACCTACAATGCAGGAACCTGCAGGAATTCCTAGGGGGCTTGAGCCCTGGCATATTGGACCGATTGTATGGGCACCCTGCCACCTGTCTGGCTGTGTTTAGGTAAGGATCCCCTTCATGGCAGGGACCACGTTGAGGAAATGTAATGGGGCCAGCACACTGGAATAAGTTATGGGTTGAAGCTTAGCTTTGGGGGGCTTGGAGATTAAAGTGTGTCAGGCCAAAACAGATGGAGTTAATGGGGGCAGCAAGACTGGTAAAGGTGTGGGGAGTGGGATGAGATGTTTAAGAGGCTGTTGAGGGCAGAGATGCAGATGAGGCAGTTTTTGATAATAACATTTTATCTCTACCCCCTTCCAGGGAGCTCCCCTCTTTGGCTAAGAACTGGGTGATGCGGATGCTCTTTCTGGAGCAGCCTTTGCCACAAGCTGCTGTAGCCCTGTGGGTGAAGAAGGAATTCAGCAAGTGAGTCTCTGCTGCATGCTCAGCCAGATACACGTTTCTCAACAGCTAGATATTCCAAGTGTTCCTTGGGACACTTCCAGGAAATATTAATGGATATATCCCAAAGCTTGTATTTAAATAAGTTTGGGAAACTCTGCATACTGTATTTTCCCCCTTGGAAAGATGTGATGTCTACAACAAGGTTCTGGTAGGTATTGCAGTAAGAAATTTGCCTTAAGAAGACACTGATTTCACTCTGAAATAGTGTTCCAAGGGATTACCAGTTCAGAAAAGGCAGAAATAGGAGACTTTGTGGGCCTCCTTGTTTGTGTTCTCTAGACACCCCCTCACCTCTTTGCTTCTGTTTCAGAGCTCAAGAGGAAAGTACAGGGCTGCTGAGTGGCCTCCGTATCTGGCACACCCAGCTGCTCCCTGGTGGTCTCCAGGGCCTCATCCTTAACCCCATCTTCCGCCAGAACCTCCGCATTGCCCTTCTGGGTGGGTATGTCACTTCCATCTTCCTAAGCTAGGAGAGGGGAACTAGGAATTAAACTGCTGGAGGGGGTGCCCCTGAGGGGCCTCTCTGGGACTTAGTGGGCTCCACCTTTGGGAGCTTGTTTAGGAATAAGTTGGACTAGATGTAGCTGCATGCTATAGGAAAGAAATGTCTTCTACTCATAGCCCATGGAGATAAAGGGGGGAAATAGGGCAGGGGAACAGGCAGGAAACTCTGGCAGGGTTCCTTACTCTTTGCCCATCCTGGCATAGGGGTAAGGCCTGGTCTGATGACACAAGTCAACTGGGTCCAGACAAGCACGCCCGGGATGTTCCCTCACTTGACAAGTACGCCGAGGAGCGATGGGAGGTGAGGACTTGGGACTCTGTCTCGGCTTGTGCTCATACTTCCACTGGCCCATAGAGCATTGTTCTCTCTGTTCACTTCTGTTTCTCAGGTGGTCCTGCACTTCATGGTGGGCTCCCCCAGTGCAGCCGTCAGCCAGGACTTGGCTCAGCTTCTCAGCCAGGCTGGGCTCATGAAGAGGTAAGGAAACCAGAGGTACATCAGATCCCTGCTAAACTGAGTGTCCAGGGTGGGTTAGGATTACAGGTGGTTAACTGAAAAAGGAGAGCTGAGTGGAGAATAGCCAGAGAGAAATCAAGAAAAAACATGAGAGGACAAGTGGGGATGGTGGCTTTTCTCTGCATCCCTCTACCCTTGTCTTTGTCTGTGTCTCTAGCACTGAACCTGGAGAGCCACCCTGCATTACGTCGGCCGGCTTCCAATTCCTGTTGCTGGACACCCCTGCCCAGCTCTGGTACTTTATGTTGCAGTATTTGCAGACAGCCCAGGTGAGGAGGCCAGGCATGCTCTGCTCTTCTCAAGACCCATGAAGAGACTACCCCTGCAGACTATTTCCTGATGTTCTCTTCCCTCATTCTCTCCCTTCCATCCCTCCTACTTTGTTTCTGTCCATTCCTCCCTAGAGTCGGGGCATGGACCTGGTGGAGATTCTCTCCTTCCTCTTCCAGCTCAGCTTCTCTACTTTGGGCAAGGTAAACAGGGGGATGGAGCTGGGGGCTTGTGTGGGCAAGCTGATGGGTGGAGAGATGAGAAGGGGAAGTCAGGTTATGGACAAAAGTGAAAGATAAGAATGAACAAAGCACAGATGGGAAAAGAGGGAATGAGTGTATAGGGTTGAGAGGGGGAGAATAGGATGTATTTTGGATTCCAACTGGGCACCTCTCTTTCCCAGGATTACTCTGTGGAAGGTATGAGTGATTCTTTGTTGAATTTCCTGCAACATCTGCGTGAGTTTGGGCTTGTTTTCCAGAGGAAGGTATGAACACCCAGATACACGGCTTCTAGGGAAGAGGCAGGGTGGTCTGTTGCCTTGGCCTTTAAAAAGGAGTGGGGTCTCAGGTGTTAGCTACACTTGTAGTGAGTATAGGGTAAGTGTAGAGTTGTTGAATCACTATGTTATGTACCTGAAACTAATGTTACATTGTATGTCAACTATACCAAAACAACAACAAAACAAAAAACAAAAAGAGTGGGTCCCAGGGGACAGTAGCAGGAAGTAGTTGCCAGGACTGAATACTTGGGTCCCTTGGAGGAGACAAATTGTGAGTTGAGGCTTTGTGCCCTGGAAGGGGTCTGTCTCAGATAGGAAGATGTTGGTTAGTGACACCTGAGCGAGGGCCCCCTGCCTTTCCTTTCTGTCTTTTCCAGAGGAAATCTCGGCGGTACTACCCCACACGACTGGCCATTAATCTCTCGTCAGGTGTTTCTGGAGCTGGGGGTACTGCCCATCAGCCAGGCTTCATTGTTGTGGAAACTAATTACCGACTGTATGCTTACACAGGTGAGGCCAGACAGAGGGCCCCAAGGACAGCAGGTTGGGGATGGGAGTGGGGAGGGAGTGCCAGTTTACGTTTATATTTACCTGGCAGTTTAGAGTTCTCTGACATTCCTCCTCACACTTGAAGGTAATGAGGGAGTCTGGGTATGGGGATAGCCTCCTTATCTTCTCTTCCTATCCCTGGGTCAGAGTCGGAGCTGCAGATCGCCCTGATTGCTCTCTTCTCAGAGATGCTTTATCGCTTCCCCAACATGGTGGTGGCGCAGGTGACCCGGGAGAGCGTGCAGCAGGCCATCGCCAGTGGCATCACAGCCCAGCAGGTACCCCCACTTGGGGAAGGTGGGGTGGGAAGATAGACTGCACTTTGGCTATGGGGTACAAGGTACTCATCTTACAGAGGCTAACATTGGCTCTGTTACAGTAGATGGCGGTGAGTTCTTTGTGTTTGAGTATAGACCATGCACACGAAGAGAAGTCAAGGCTTTAACTGTGGGAAAAGGCAGACCCTCCATGGGCAAAAACATGGGGGAGGAGGTATAGATTTGTGTCTTCACTACTAACCACTTCCTATCTGCATAAACAGCTTGGTTGCTTCACTTCTCTGAGCCTCAGTTTCCTCATCTGGAAAATGGAAATAATGACAGTTCTCACCTTACGGGGTTTTTGGGAGGATTCAATGAGAGAATAGCAGTAAAGCATTTAGCTCAGAGCCTGCCATGCAGTAAGTGCTCAAAAGTTAATAGTTGCTGCTATTTTAAAGAAAAAAACAAAACAAGACTATGGAAAGGGCAAATGTGCTAGAGCACATTTAGCAGACATAACCAATAGGAACAGCAACTTGGGACAACATCTGAACAGGGATGGGTTAAAGACAGGCATGGCTATGGATTTTTAAACAGTAAGGTGATATTTTACTGACATCAGATGACAGCTTAGGTAGCTTTCCTGCCCTCTTACTTGAGCTCCTGATCCCATTCTTGTCTGTTTTCTTAGATCATCCATTTCCTAAGGACAAGGGCCCACCCAGTGATGCTCAAACAGGTATCAAGCTGCTGGAGGCTGACAGCCCCTGGCACCTGGTGATGAAGTGATGGAAAAGAGAAAGGGGCATCCAAGTCCGGGGAGTAGACAGCTGGGGTTGCCTGGGGCAGTATTCCTGAATCTTATAGCCATTTCTTGCTTCTACAGTCACCTGTGCTGCCGCCCACCATCACGGACCAGATTCGGCTGTGGGAGCTAGAAAGGGACAGACTCCGGTTCACTGAGGGTGAGTGGCTTCTGGTGGTTGGTTCTTGGTCATTGGCCAGAAGAAAGACAATTTAGTCTTGATGAACTGAAAAAGCTATTCATGCATTTTATTTTTTTGTTTACTGCATGGGCTGGTAGAGAAAAGCTGGCAAAACACTTTTATTTTGGGGATGAGCCTGTAGTAGTAAGTAAATTGTCTCAAATCTGTGCAATTTGGATTCAGTAGAAGAGGGAATTGGGAGGGATAATTCACATTAATTTCTCCGATTTGGTGAGCATTAGTTGGGTTTCTTTACTGTGTTACATTGCCTTACTGAATATGGCTGGATCACGCTAGTGTTAGGATGAGCCCTGAAACAGACAAGCATAGAGAATTAGTTTTCAGATTGTGGTGGGTGGCAAGCCCAGGCCAATGACCCGACGCTGCCACGCAGGGGTCTCATTTCTTGCCTTTTCTCTCTCCCACCGCCCCTTTCCTGCGGACTCCAGGTGTACTGTATAATCAGTTCTTGTCGCAAGTGGACTTTGAGCTGCTGCTGGCCCACGCTCGGGAGCTGGGCGTTCTGGTGTTCGAGAACTCGGCCAAGAGGCTGATGGTGGTGACCCCGGCCGGGCACAGCGACGTCAAGCGCTTCTGGAAGCGGCAGAAGCACAGCTCCTGAGAGTGCGGGCTCAGACCCGGGCGGGGTGGGGCGGCTGCGTGGAGGCGGACGCAGCCTTAGAACTCAGGTGTTTTTTTATTTACACGCCGGACTCTTATTGTTTAATAAAGTTGTGGAAGTGAGCCACGGTGACCCCTGGGCGCCTCCCCGCGTGGCTTTTCGTTTATCCTCGTTGGACCTGCACCTTACAGCGCTGGCAGCCCACCTGACCGCCGGAAAGCGAATGGGCCCGAGTAGGCTACAGCGCATGCGCCGGGCGTGGCCCCGCCTCCCTGCACCGCACGGCTCGCGGGTCGCATTCCGGGGTCGGATTCGCTGGTTTCCCTCAGCCTTCCATGCTGCGGCGGCTGCGGGGCACCCTGGGATAGCGGCGGCTCGCCGGGTGAGCGCGCGCTAGAGCGGCTTGGTCGGGGTGGGTGGCTCAGCGCTGTAGAGATCCATGCGCTGCGACGGGCAGGAAAGCCGGGCAGAGCAGGGCCGGGGGCAGTGGGGGCGTTGTTTGGGCAGGCCGAGATGGCAATGATGAGACTCCCCGCTGGCTCTCGGGCACCCTGATGTGGACAATCTCCCAGAATCCTTGAGTCCTTTCCCCGCCCCGTGCGGTCAATCACCGTCGCGGATACACAGGTTGAGGGCAACAAACTCCGACACCATGCACTCTAGTCCTAACGGGGGAAGCGTCGTGGGGGGGGGGGTGGGGAGGGAGGAGATAGAAAGCAGGCCAGTGCTAGTAGAAGGCAGGGAATAAGGAAGACGGTGTGACACCCCACGCCCACCCACCCACGTATCCTCCTAATGTGCTCTGTCTGTCTGGAACAGATCTTGGCCCTTTCCAAGCGCTCCTGATGCCTCATATGCCTCTGGCTTCTTTTCGATCACCACTCTGGGGGCTGAGGCCGTCACAGGTCTTTCCCAGATCGTATCCCCTCTCTACCCAGTCAAAGCCCCATGGATCCTCCCTCTCCCGGAGAAACCATGAAGCCAAGAAGAAGCGCCAGCGAGAAAAGCAGGCGGTGCTGGAGGCTGGGGTAGCCCGGAAGAGCAAGGTTAGGGGTCAGATAGCTTGTTCTTGGTTTTTTGAGAAAACTTCGGAGGGGGCTGGAGGAGAGACTGGTTGGATTCCAGATGCCTGGGGTATACTGGAAATTGTTTCCCCGCATCCCCACTTTTGGTCATTCTCTCCAGTTACCTGCAGAATCCAGTAAGTCCTGGACTCCTAAGGAGGTGGTGGTGTATGAAATTCCCACAGAACGCGGTGAAAAGAAAGGTAACTAGGGAACTTGAAGGTCTTTTCTCCCACATTTTTGTTGCCCATTTGGTCTGCTGAAATGCAGCCTGGGAACAAAGTTCAGGAGTTAGTGGAGCTCTCCTCTGCTGCTGCAGATGTCTCCCGGGTCCTGCCTCCTGCATACAGCCCTCGATATGTTGAGGCTGCCTGGTACTCTTGGTGGGTGCGAGAGGGCTTCTTCAAACCAGAATATCAGGTTAGTACCTGGAAGAGAGGGGTACTAAATGGTCCCCAGCACAGAATGGCCATTGAGCTTGGGCACAGCTGAGTGTTAGAGTCTGGAGCTTACAGCTAGCCATATTGCAGAACCTGCTTAAAAAAACAGAGAACTTGTCTTCTGCTCCTGGTGTCCAAAGCGTTTTCCTGGCAGGTTTTCCCCTTTCCTATAATTTGCTGGACTATTTTTCCTGCAGTTCTTCCTGCCTCAGAGGCAGCAGAGGGTGCTGTTCCCCCAGGTAACATCCAGTCGTCTTTTGCCCTTTGACTTTTCTGTTTTCTAGACCAGGCTGCCCCAGGCCACGGGGGAGACGTTTTCCATGTGTATCCCACCTCCCAATGTCACTGGCTCCCTACATATTGGACATGCACTGACAGTGGCCATACAGGATGCCCTGGTGCGCTGGTGAGAGGGGAATGGGGCTGCTTATGGTCTTGGAGGGGAAGGAGGAAGTGTGCTAGTGTGCAGGGAGTGAGAGTAAATATGGAGGCTCGGGGGTTCCCGTGAGGGTATTTGTTTTGCAGGCACCGGATGTGTGGGGATGAGGTGCTGTGGGTCCCAGGCTCAGATCATGCGGGAATTGCTACACAAGTATGAATTTTGCCACTTTTCCCTTTTCTTGGGTGAAGGAGAGTTGTTCTCCTTTTAAAATGACCTGGTTCTCTGTTCATTTGCCTCCTTTTCTTACCGTAGGCTGTGGTGGAGAAGCAACTTTGGAAGGAGCGAGGAGTGAGGAGACATGAGCTGAGCCGGGAAGACTTCCTTAGGGAGGTGTGGAAGTGGAAGGAGGAGTGAGTACGGTGGGTGGAGTTTGCCCCCCCACCTCCCTGCACATGGAGGGTTTGGGTCCTTGCTTCTGAGTCACTCTCCCTAACCTGATGGGCTCTTTGCATCCAGCCCTAAATTCCCTCAGAGAGGGAAGCCCTGGATTCCTTTAGCATTCAGTGGGGTCTCTAAGCGTTGTGAGTGTGTGTGTATTACATACTTGAAAATGCATGAATTTGTGTGTGTGGGTATATATGTATATTGTTTCTGCACTTACCCCATTTTTTCTAGCCTAGATTTCCTCGTCTCTTTTACTTACCTATCCCTACCTTCCATCTACTTGAAATTACCCTCATTCTTATAGGTGTCTGTTATCACAAACCATTTTCTCTGTAAAGCTTCTTTGGGTTTTTCCCAAATTGGCTGCCCCCTCCTCTGTTACTGCAGAACTTTATTTCCCTCCCTCCCTCCCTTCTTTCCTTCCTATTCTGTACCCAACATGGGTCTTGAACTCATGACCTTGAGATCAAGGGTCACATGCTTTACCAGCTGAGCCAGTCAGGCACCCTGGAACTTTATACTTCTTTTAATGCCATAGAAGACCCATACTGAGTTTGTGTGCGTGTCTCCATTAGCTTCTAGAGACTAAATCAATGCCATACATTGCTGGGAGTGTCACTGGGCCGGTACATAGTTGGTGCTCAGGACAAGTTTGCTGACAAAAATCTCTCTGGGCACAGGAAAGGTGGAGAGATCTGTGAGCAGCTCCAAGCTCTGGGGGCCTCCCTGGACTGGGACCGAGAGTGTTTCACTATGGATGCTGTGAGTGCTCCATGCCTTGATCCCTGTGGGTGTTGAGGAGGTGTCTAGAGATATGTGCAGGCAGGTGGGATGTTGTGTGTGTTGGGGGTAGCAGGGTGGGAATGCCTGGGTCTCTGAGTGGGGTGATGGGCTGAGAATGGGCTGTTAGATATGGACACTGAGATCATCCCCTAGGGCTCCTCAGTGGCCGTGACTGAAGCTTTTGTGCGACTCTATGAGGCAGGGTTGTTGTATCGGAACCAGCAGCTTGTCAACTGGTCCTGTGCTTTAAGATCAGCCATCTCGGATATCGAGGTGAGGCAGAGGAGGAGAAGCAGGTCTGTGAGAGCTCCTAGGGATGATGGAAATGCCTGTGTCAAGGGGGTGTTGTGAGAATTAAATGAGAATTCATGGAAGGTGTTCAGCACAATACCCAGTGCGGTGTAAGTGCTCGGTGAATATTTTTGAACTATGACTGAATTAGGGGAGGGGGAGGTGGCTCCTGAATCCTCTGAATGTCTTTAGTTGGGCCGCAGGGCAGGCTGGTGAGTGGAGGAGAGGCTGCTCTCCAGCCCTGCTGCTGTGACTCTTCCAGGTGGAGAGCCGGCCCCTGCCTGGCCGCACGGAACTTCGTCTGCCTGGCTGCCCCATCCCTGTGTCTTTTGGCCTCCTTGTTTCTGTGGCCTTCCCTGTGGATGGAGAGCCTGGTAAGGGTAGTCCTCAGAGAGGTTGTCTGCTTATCATAACTGCTTTCTTGAGCACATGTGGGGTTGGTGGGAGGGAGCCCACCAGCCTGTTTCCTACATGGCCTGGTGGGAGGTGCATAGGGAATCTTGGTAGTGTTGGTGTTCTTGTAGGCATTTATTCTGGGTCTTCTGGGCCATGTAAGAAAAGTGCACATGGGCACTGCCCTTTGGAAGCTTGACCTAATTCTACAGGAGGCTGTTACCCCTTCTCTTTCTCAGAGAAAGAGAAGAAAGATTAGCTGGAATAGACAGAGGAAATTTCTCAACGAGTGATTAGGGCACTGAGAACCCCCAGTGTTCTCTAGCACCAAGTAAGGATTCTAGTTGCTTTTGTTAATGCTCTACCTGTTTGTTCCATGCAAGTTATGGAGAAATTCCTTAGCACCAGATAGCCTCCTGGGCTTCTGGTCATGAGCTTACATGGAAACCCCAGGCTCCTAATTTCCTCTAGTTATACCTGGGGGTCTGTTCAATCATGACTGCTTCCTGTCCCCTCCCTTTTCTGGTTCTCCTGGCTTTAGTTACAGGAGTGAGGGACCAGGGCAATGACCAGCATTAAGTGCTTGAATTTTGTCTTCAGACACAGAGATTGTAGTAGGAACCACAAGGCCAGAGACATTGCCTGGAGACGTGGCTGTGGCTGTTCATCCTGATGACTCCCGATACACAGTAATACACATTGTGCTTTCTGCCAGCTGACTTTCCTACACATAGCTTTCTCTTCCCTTCCTGTTTGATGGTAACTCCTTTCCTTTGATTTCCTTTTCCTAAGACTTGTCTCGTTTCCACTCTCCAGTGTCTCTGACTCTGTGCCTTTCTTTTCTTGATGTCCTACTTAGTCTCTAGCTTAGCAGTTGACAAATTATTGCCTGTGGGCCAAACCCATCCTACTGCCTGTTTTTGTATATCCGCACTTGCATGTTTTATGTATTACCTGCAACTGAGTATTATTACCTAACTGCGCTGCATTGGCAAAGCAGAGTAAATGTGCAGAGACCAAATTTGCCTTGTGGCCTGCAAAGCCTACAATAAACTCTGGCCCCATGAGAAAAAGTTTAGTGACCACTGCTCTAGCTCTTTACCTTCTGGTTTTCACCCTCTTATTCCCAGAGTTTTTTACATTCAGCCCAGACCTTTGCACCCCACACGTGTGCCTGGCCTTGATCTTGCTCTCTTCCTTTCAGCATCTGCATGGGCGACAGCTTCGTCACCCCTTGACTGGGCAGCTTCTCCCCCTCGTCACAGACTCTGCTGTTCAGCCACACATGGGTACAGGTGGGTGGAGGCCACGGGAGGGAGAGCAGACTGGGGATTCTGGAGGAGTGGGGAAGCATCAGGAAGAGGAAGAAAGGAAGGGAGGGAAAGCCTTTTCTGGGGTAGTCTCAGTGGGGAGTGGGACAAAAAGGAGGCATGGACAGAGAAGAGAAAAGAGAGATGGGGGTGTGGGCGACAACGAAATCTCTGGAAAAGGTCAGGGGTCAGTGTTCATGGTGGTTCTGTACCCCCAGGGGCAGTGAAGGTGACTCCAGCACATAGTCTTGCTGATGCTGAGCTGGGAGCCCGACATGGCTTGAGCCCTCTGAGTGTCATTGCAGAGGATGGGACCATGACTTCCCTCTGTGGGGATTGGCTACAGGTGGTACTGGCCTCAGTGTTACCCCATCCTTTGGGAGCACCCTCTGCCTTTCCTCAATCCTCCCTCTCACACTTTCCTCAATCCTTCCTCTCACACACACTTAGTGGCCTTTAACCTTTACTGTTACCATTTTTCCCCAGGGTCTTCACCGATTTGTGGCCCGGGAAAAGATTATGTCTGCACTGAGGGAGCGGGGCCTGTTCCGGGGCCTTCAGAACCACCCTATGGTGCTTCCTATTTGCAGGTAACCCCATTTTAACCCTTTTACTTAGGACTTTTCTGGGAAGGGAGTGGATGAAGCTAATAGTGCAATAGGAGGGACTCCATACCGCTTGCAAGGGAACAGAAGCTCTGTGTCAGTTTTTTTTTTTTTTTTTTTAATTTTTTTGGTTTATTTATTTTTTTGAGAGAGAGAGAGAGAGAGAGAGATAGGGAAAGTGTGAGTGAGGAGGGGCAGAGAGAGAGGGAGACACAGAATCTGAAGCAGGCTCCAGGCTCTAAGCTGTCAGCACAGAGCCTGATGTGAGGCTCGAACTTAACATGATGATATCATGACCTGAGCTGAAGTTGGTTGCTTAACCGACTGAGCCACCCAGGTGCCCCTGTGTCAGTTTTTTTTTTTTTTTTAATTTTTTTTTATGTTTGTTTATTTTTGACAGAGAGAGAGAGAGAGAGAGAGAGAGAGAGAGAGAGAATATGAGTGGGGGAAGGGCAGGGGGAGACAGAGAGACACAGAATCTGAAACAGGCTCTGAGCTGTTAGCACAGAGCCTGACACGGGGCTCTAACTCACTGACCGTGAGATCATGACCTGAGCCCAAGTCGGATGCTCAATCGACTGAGCCACCCAGGTGCCCCTCCCCTGTGTCAGTTTTATTTGCTGCTGTATTCTCAGGTCTGAGGGCCTGGCATGTAGTATGTACTATGTCCCAGTGGGGAAAGGCACAGGGCCTGAGGAGCAGCAGACTCACCCTGCCTCTTTCTCAGCCGTTCTGGGGACGTGGTAGAATACCTACTGAAGAGCCAGTGGTTTGTCCGCTGCCGGGAGATGGGAGATCGAGCTGCCCAGGTAAGGCTGCAGGGTGAGGAAGGAATGGGAATTCCCTGAAAATTGGAATGAAAAAACAGAAGCTGGGGCCCTCCTGCCCCACAGACCTCTGGCCCTGGCATTTGAGAGGAGAGCTGTGGGGATGGAGGTAGGGAGGCCCAGAACGGGCTGGCGCACATTCCAGTCAAACCCCAAATCTTCCCAGGAGCCTCTGGAGGTCTTTTATGAGTAATAGCACCACCTCAGAGGACGCTTGTCTCATCTCAGGAGGGGTGCTGGTGTAGGAAGCATTATCTAAGCTTTTTTAGAAGCATTATCTAAGGGCCTTTTTCTCCAGGCTGTGGAGTCAGGAGCTCTGGAGCTCAGTCCCTCCTTCCACCAGAAAAACTGGCAGCACTGGTTTTCCCACATTGGGTAAGGGTAAGGGACTCTATGGAGGTGGGGTGGGGCGATGCCCTGGTTATGCTGAGAAATCACTGGCGTCCTCTTGGCAGAGACTGGTGTATCTCCCGGCAGCTGTGGTGGGGCCATCAGATTCCCGCCTACCTGGTTGTAGAGGAGCAAACGAAGGTTGGTAGGAGGAAGGGGACGGGGAGGGCTGGGCACGGCGGAAAGAGAAATAGCCATAGCGCAAGCATCAGAGACTTTGAGCACCCGTCCCAACCCCCTGCCTTTCTAGAGCTTCAATGGTCTTAGTCATGTAACCCACTGCAGGATCAGAGCGCCTGAGCGGGCACTTCTTCATCTCACTGCCGGAGGGGGTCGGCCATCCCTAGACCACATGGGAGAACACGAAAGTCGGTGATGTTTCACACTGGCAGAACTTCCTTGTTCTCCCCCACCCCTTACTTTTTCTGTAGGGTGACAGGGAGGACTGTTGGGTGGTTGGGAGGACAGAGGCCGAGGCCAGAAAAATAGCTTCAGAGCTGACAGGGAGACCAGCGGCAGAGCTGATCCTGCAGAGGGGTGAGTGTCTGTGTTGTGGAGGGCAGGGGAGAGCGTCTGGGCCTTTGAGGGGGCAGATACTGAGGTGGAGGAGGTGGGGTTAGGAAAGTTGGGAATGGGGCAGAGTGCCATGGTCTCTGTGGGTGGGGTTGGGCTGGAAAGGTACACAGTTGTGGGCTGGAGGTTCCAGTTGTCCCCCATTCCCTGTTCTGTTTCCCAGACCCTGATGTCCTGGACACATGGTTCTCTTCAGCTCTTTTCCCCTTTGCTGCCCTGGGCTGGCCCCAAGAGGTGAGGCGAGGTGAGGGGAGGAGAGTGAAGGTGGGGATGATGAAGTAGACACTTGGCCTTCCAGAGAGCCTCAAGGAGAGCTGCAAGAACAGAGCTTGGGCCTCTCACTGCTTAATCTTTTTCCTCCTAGACCCCAGACCTCACTCGTTTCTACCCCCTGTCACTTTTGGAAACTGGTAGTGACCTTCTGTTCTTCTGGGTGGGCCGCATGGTCATGTTGGGGACCCAGCTCACAGGGCAGCTCCCCTTCAGCAAGGTAACAGCACTTCAGTGCTGAGCCCCTCTTGTAGACTCCCCAGTCTTCCCTAAATCTTGTTCTCTGTTCTAGTCCCTAGTGAAGTATTTTCTGTGGTCCCAATTCCTTTTTCCTGATTCTCTTCCTACCCTAACCCCTGTTGCATGGAGGCCAGAGATTCCCTGGGCACTTCCGGGGAAAGGCTCCCCTAGCCCCTCTGCTGACTCCCTCCATGTTCCCAGGTGCTTCTTCATTCCATGGTTCGGGACAGGCAGGGCCGGAAAATGAGCAAGTCCCTAGGGAATGTGTTGGACCCACGAGACATCATCAGTGGGGTGGAGCTGCAGGTCAGGATGAAATTTGGCAAGGGATGGGTTTGTGGGAGAGAAGAACGGAGCCTGTGGAGAGGACCCTGGTGGGTCCTGGGTGGGGCCCTTGTAGCAGCAGGGTCTTTGACCAAGGCCGGTGAATTACCCATCTCAGGTGCTGCAGGAAAAGCTGAGGGATGGGAACTTGGACTCTACAGAGTTGGCGATCGCGGCTGCAGCACAGGTGAGTCACCAACGTCCACTTCATCTCGGCCTCTAGCTCGAGGCCTCTGGTTTTCTTCACAGCCCAGGTTTCTGATCCTGCAGCTGCGTAGGCATCTGCCACTCCTCTTCTCCCTCTGGTTGTAGAGAAAGGACTTCCCTCATGGGATCCCTGAGTGTGGGACAGATGCCCTAAGATTCACCTTGTGCTCCCATGGGGCCTTAGGTAAGCCTGGGCAAGGGAGGGGTCCGGGCTGTAGGCACCCTTGTAGAGGGTGGGGCAGGGTCAAGGATTCCCTGTGCTGCTGCCACCCACGTGTACACTCCCCCTCTTCCTATTCCTCTAGGGGGCGACTTGCACCTGTCTGTCTCCGAAGTCCTGAGTTCCCGGCATTTCTGCAACAAAATCTGGAATGCCCTGCGCTTTATCCTCAATGCCTTAGGGGAGAAATTTGTGCCCCAGCCTGCAGAAGAGGTAAGAGAGAGGCTTGGGATGCAGAATCATCAGGTCTCTGGGGGCTGAAGATGGCATTGGAGCGAAAGGACACAGGGGAGTCGAGTGGTCCCATCCTGAAGCCCTTTGCTGCCCGCAGCTTTCCCCTTCATCGCCCATGGATGCCTGGATCCTGAGCCGTCTTGCCCATACTGCCCGGGAGTGTGGGCGAGGCTTCCTTGCCCAAGAGCTCTCACTTGTCACCCATGCCCTGCACCACTTCTGGCTCCATAACCTCTGTGATGTCTACTTGGTGAGTAGACTGGGGTCATGGCATGGCATTCCACTCCTGTTACCTGCTTCCTGTTCGCCTTGAGATCCAATTCCCTGGCAAAGGGCTCTGCCTCTTTTTGATAGGCCGAGAACTCAGTGCTTTTCTTCTGAAACTGTGCAAACCACACTGACAATTTTATACACCTCCCCACAGTCCTGAGAATCCCTGCGCTAGATTTCTACATCTCAGTTGCTCCAGAGTGTGTTCTGGGACAGCCAACGGGGTCCAAGATGCCCTGTGCTCCTGCCCATGTTCACCCACAGCACTCTTCACTGTCAGGGCAGTGAGTGTGTAGAGAAAGGACACAGATAATGGCCTGGGCCTGTTCCCTGACCCTCTGGCTCCCTCCCCAGGAGGCTGTGAAGCCGGTGCTGTTGCACTCGCCCTGTCCCCAAGGCCCCCCTCAGGTCCTGTTCTCCTGTGCTGACATCGGTCTCCGCCTCCTCGCCCCACTGATGCCCTTCCTGGCTGAAGAGCTCTGGCAGAGGCTGCCCCCCAGGCCTGGAGGCTCCTCTGCCCCTAGCATCTCTGTTGCCCCCTACCCCACTGCCTGCAGCTTGGTGAGTACGCATCCCTGATGTCTGGGTATGGGACCACTGGTGAAGGGCTAGGGAGCAGTCTTCTCAAAGGGTTTGCTGCTGTAGGGTCCTCAACAATCGTGATTTGTACTTTAGTGTAGAGTCTTTAGGAGGATGGGTTGTTCTCACAGGTCTGTGTTGGGGGCAGTATTAGCCCCATAGACAAGAGCAGAACTTTGTCCCTAGACTGACCATGCCTCAGTTCTCCATCTTTAAACCAGGGGTAGTAATAGTTAATAGCATGGTTGTGATGAGAACTAGATGAGAACTAATAGGATGGTCCCCAAATTACTGCAGTTTTAAGCTTTAATAATTTCAGAAGGAAAAATACTACAGACTCACCCAAAAAATAATTTTAAAGTTTAATTATTTAAATTTCTTTATGCTTATTTGGTTTTGTGAGTTTTCAATGATACGGTTTAAATTCCAACTTACTTTTGGTTGTTTGGTATATTTGACCAGAACAATTAACAGACATCAACACAAACATCAACTAAGACGTCCTTAGATGGTACCCCAGGTTTTGCTGGGTTCTGTTCCTTGAGGTGGTGAATTTTGTGTGTAGTGGAGAGGAGAGAGTATGTTGCCCTTAGCAGATCAGGGTGGTCAGGTGGAGAGTAGAGCCAGGAGAGCTGATATCAAGTCTCCCAGGGGCCTGCTTATCAGCTCTGGGTCTTCATCTCCAGGAACACTGGCACCAGCCAGAGCTGGAACAGCGCTTCTCCCGGGTCCAGGAGGCCGTGCAGGCACTGAGGGCTCTCCGAGCCACATACCAGCTCACAAAGGCCCGGCCCCGAGGTGAGATGGGTCCTGGGCTCCTGAGTCCCTGCAGAAAGAAGGGGTTGGTGGAGGAGTGGGGAGAGCCTGGAGGGCAGAGCCCAGAGTTAGGAGGTGCAGGATGGGGAGGGAAGCAGGATCTCATGCTTTGACACTGACGGTTTCCCTTTCCTCCTCAGTGCTGTTGCAGAGCTCAGAGCCTGAAGAGCAAGGCCTCTTCGAGGCCTTTCTGGAACCTCTAGGCACCCTGGGCCACTGTGGGGCTGTGGGCTTCTTACCCCCAGGTGTACTGGCTCCCTCTGGCTGGGCCCAGGCTCCACTCAATGATACCATTCAGGTGTACATGGAGCTGCAGGTGCTTAGAGGAGATTGGAGGGGGAAGGGAGGGATTGAAAAGGATGTTGGGAGGAGGGCAAATGGTAGGTTCTGTAAAAGTGAGAAGGGCTCCTGAGAATGGGGTGGAGACAGGTACTGGACAGGCTGCAGATGTTACAAAGAAGGCTGAGCCTTTTCTGTTCTTCCACAGGGGCTTGTGGACCCCCAGACCCATCTATCTCTGCTAGCTGCCCGAAGACACAAGTTGCAAAAGCAGCTTGATGGCCTCATGGCCTGGACCCCATCAGAGGGGGAGACGGAGACTAAAAGGCAGCAGAGGGTGAGGCTGGAGGAAGCCTGATTCCCTGTGGGAATGTGGGCTGGAGGGGATGGGCCTTATATCTGGATCCTCACCTGCTTCTCTTCTCGGCTAGCTTTCTTCCCTCGAGTTGGAATTGTCGAAGCTGGACAAGGCGGCCTCTCACCTCCGGCAGCTGATGGATGCATGTCCTAGCCCCAGAGAGCTCTGAGCTCCAGCTCACTATATGGTGGTTTTCTTCTCTTCCTGATCTGCTTTTGAGGACAGACAGAATCTAGCAGCTGTCAAGCATGATGGAGATTCTGAGACCTTGTGGCTCACTTCCCATATTTCGTAAATAAGGAAACCGATTGGTTTGGTCAGTGTCACTGGGTGTCCTCAAGATGCTCACATTCCTGCCCAGCCTCCCTCTTACTCAGTCCTACCTGGAAGTTTAGGAATGAGATAAACTTGGTCTTTTTATTCCTCTTTCTCCTAGTGATGACTTTCTTGCCTTTCAATTGTTCCCTGAGGCTTTGGTCTAGGAAAAGAGGGGGGCTGCCTCTTACCCTGGGGCTAAGCCTGGGGCTCTGGGCTGCAGTGGGAGTGTGCATGCTGGCGGTGTCTGCCTTATTGGAAGAAAGAGGAGCGTCCTGCTAAGGCCTGGGTACTGTGACTCGGGTTCCACCTACTTCTTGGAATTACTGACAGTGTCCTGGCTCCTGCAGGCCATTTCTCCTCACCAAATGGAAGGTACCCCGCTCCTTGGCTTTATCCTGGGGTGGGGTGTGCTAAGAGGAGCAGGTACTTCCTCTGGGCCTGAGGGGCTGCAAGGCACGCTGGGGCTTGAATGCTGCCCCTGTTCTGTGTATCTGATACCAGACTGCCAGGGACATCTTGACCAACCTACAACAGATGTACATCCCCACTGATGCAGACACCCACTGATCCACCCTAAACACCTTGTGTCATCTCCGTGGAATTCAGGGACCTGCCTCTTACATGCCCAAGTTATATTCTGTCTAGCAGCTCTGAGGCTATTACTTATGGTAGGCCTATCATGGTCTGTAGCTTCCATGGTGCATTTAATCCTCCTGAGAACCTTAGGAGGTGGGTGTTGGCTCCATTTTGGAAATGAAGAAATGTGCTCGGAGAATAAAAGTAACTTGTCCAAAGTATCAACTGGGATTCAACCCAGTACATAGGTGCAGGTTCATTTTGGCTGCTCTAACCAAGCATCAAATATAATGGTGGGTTAGGCAAGGTGGACATTTCTTTTGCTGAGCAGAGGCAGTTCAGAGTTCTGTAATAAAGGAGGCCCACACCCCATTTAATCTTATTTCCTGCCATTCTGATACACTGTTTCCAACTCTAGGTCTAAGATCTGCTCCACCCTACCCCCACCCCCATCCTACCCAGAGAGAGGAGGGAGAGGAGGGGTTGGGCAGCTTCCTTTCTGTCTTCCCCCAGTTCAAATATTTCTATATGCTGGGAACTATTCTGGACCCTTGGATTCATCAGTGACTGAAACAAAGGTCTTTGTTTACTTTAATTCTAGCAAGGAGAGTCAAAAAGAACACATGTAAATAAAGTAAACTATACACTATGTCTGAGAGTCATAAATGCTATGGGGAAAAAAGGGTAGAATAAGGCAATGTGGAAAGGGACAGATTGTAGTATTAAATGGGTCAGGGTAGAACTCACTATGAAAGTGAGATTTAAGCAAGGACTTGTAGGAGGTGCAGGAATTAGCCAAGTGGATGCCTGGGAGAAGAGTGTTCCAGGTAGAGGGAAGAGCCGGAGCAAAACTAAGATGGGAGCATATCCTGAGTGCTCAAAGAGCAGCAAGGAGGCCAGTGTTGGGGGGAAGAGTAGGAGATAAAGTCCATTGTGGGGTAGGGAGTCAGGAAAGCTCAAGGCAGATCATCTAGGGCTGTGCTGTCCAAAATGGTTGCCATTTAACGAATTCAAAGTTAAGTACAACTAAACATTCCGTTCCACAGTCACACTAGCTACATTTCAAGTGTTTGATAGCCACATGTGGCTAGTGGCTACCATATTGGTCAGTGTAGGTTCTAAAACATTTCCATCATGGAAAGTTTATTGGAAAGCACTGGTCTATGACCTGTAGGCTACTGGAAGGACTTTGTTTTCTTCCCTCAAATAAAAGTGCCTCTCCTTTCAGAGATGTCATCAGGAAGTTGTATACTGCCTTTCTCCTTGTAGCTGTTGCCATTCCTAGCTGACAGGCTGGGAAATACGATGAGCTGTGTGCTAAGCTAAATGTAAGTGAGCCATGTGCTCAGCTAGAATTTACGTGATTACCCAAAAGGAGAAGAACGGCAATTAGGTGTGTTCAATCCCAAAGCATTCTTTTCCCTGTACTGCTCTGTCGAGTCTTGGAAGAGAGTTTTTTTGAGGAAAGAATCTGGAAATCACAGCCTAGTGATCCCAGGCCCTGAGATGTAGGAATCAGGTTGAGAGGCAGTTAGCTGTTTGCTCCTTGGAAATTCAGACATCCAGTTCCCCAACTTGGGTAGGGCCTACACACCTGACCCATGAGTGTCACCTGCACCTAGTGCAGGCAAAGAACAAGTCATGGAACACTGGGGCCCTTTTTAGCTCTCAGCTACCTCTCTTCCAGGTTGCTGATCCCAGGATAGTTGTAAAGGAAAATAGAGGAATTTTGTTTTGGAAGTTTTTTTGTTTCATTTCCCACTTGCAATTCCCCCCTCATCTTCAGGGATGCTCTATTTGGAGCCGTTGCCTTCTCCTCCCTCCAAGGAAGTCAGCCTCTAATTTCCCATGGTGGTGATACTGGGTAGGTGGGGAGTATGGTAGGTAGGGGAGAGGACTGTGGAGAACAGGAAACAGTCACATCAGTACCCCCAAATGGTCAAGTTTGAGCTGCATGATTGCATTTTGAGAAAGCTGGTAAGAAGTCAAGATCATCTTGGGTGAGGAGACAGGAGTGCCTGCCTCAAGAAAATCAGAAGGAAGACCTTGGACCCTTGAAGGGACTAGGACTTCTATGTCAGGACCATGGTTGAATTTTAACAATCCCTACTACCCAGGCTCACTTACCTGCCCATGTACCCTACGTAGCTTCTCCATGTAATGCTCACAACAGTCCAAGCATCAGGTACTATCATTCCCACTTTGCAGGTGAAGAAATGGAGGCTCTGAGAGATAAGAAATTTACCCAGGACTCAAGCGTGGGCCTGTGGGACTGTATGTCCTCACAGCCAGCACAAGCTTTGCTAGCACCCACCCTCCCCACCACTCACACCTGGCTGGCCGGATATCCTCTCACAGGTGGAACCTCTCATCTATCGCTGGAGCTGCCTCCCAAGCAAAGAAGGATGAAATGAAAATCTTGCTTAAGTCAGGGCATTTGTCTGGTGTCCACTGCTAATGGACCTAAAGTGAGTAATTTACCCTCTGTAAGCCTCAGTGTTCATCTGTAAAATTGGACAGTGACACTTATTCTACATTCAAGATCACTGCAAGCATTGAAATGGGAAAGCATCAAGTCTGGAACAAAGTAGGAATTCAGTACATTTCTTGCCTTTATTCCTAGGTATTCTGAAGATCTCAGCTTGAAGTGTGTATTCATGCACATGCATGTATAAGTGTGGTGCGTGGGTCCTCAAACAGTTAACTTCCCAGATTCTTTCTAGGCCTTTCACACTGGTGTTGAGGGAGAGGGTGTCCATCCCAGAACCCCTCTGCTTAATAAGGGGGAGAGTCAGAGAGTTTGGTGTCCAATTCTATTTTCCTGCCAGCTCTCTGTTCACAAACCCACAAAGGCAAGTCATTGAATTCATCATATTTACTGCCACTCGGCAGGGTTTAGGGCATCTTTCCTGTACCTTGGTGGTCAAATGCCTGGGCCAAGGGAGGACACAGGTTTCAACTGTTCTCAGACTTTGCAGATGGCACGGTGCGGGGATCCTGCATGATGGAGGGTGACATTGGTCCCAGGTGGGAGGTGGAGGAGGAAGCAGAGCTGGGGAAGAGAAAGCGTTAGAAGGAAGGGTGTAAGATGGCTCTCACTCACCCCTTGGAGATGGCCAGACCCCAGCAGAGAGGCCCACACTGACTCAGAAACACACTCAAAGTTCACACAGCCTCACATTTCCCCTCCCAAAGAACTACCTTTTCGAGCAATTCCAGGAAGCTGGAATCATAGGAGAAATTTGCTAGAAGGGAGTCCTTCAGCTTCAGCTGCAAAATCATTCTTGGCCCTAGGGATCAAAAAATACAGCTTAGTGTCCAATTATTAGGGCTATATTCCTTCAGAGATGCGGGCACCCCTGCCTCCCCCACCCCAAGTTGCTCTTCCCTGACAATGCCCTTCAGGACCCACTCGATGCAGGGGTTCAGCCCCAGACCTCTGGAAGCTCAGGACTGGATGCCTCTCTTACTCCCCTCTTTGGCCTCTTCCTGCTATGAGCACCCAGGCATCAAACCCTCCAGCCCTCACCTGTTCCCTGTGAGCTGCTCAGGAGTGTCAGGAAGAGGAAGAAGGGCAGCCTGGCCCCCATTGTGGCCACCTCACTTCTTGCTTCTCTGATGGACAGAAGAGATGTCTGAAGCCCCAGCTAGCTTCTCCTTACCAGGCCTGCCTTTCTATACTCCACTCAATCCTTAGCATAAGTGTTTGGGTGGGAAATGGGAGAGGGAAGCTGGGTAACTGGATTTTCCAGTTCTCCCAGTATGGCTTTGAGGACCCAGAAGAGGGCCATTCACTGGGCTGTTGGGGAAAATAGAAGGTGGTCCCCTTTCCTCAATCCTGTGCCCCACCCGTTCCCTATGTCTGGAGGCTTTGATGGGGATGGTGCCCAGTTCTACAGAGAGGGAAGTTAAGGAGGTGTCCCTCCTGTAGGTGTCTGGGCCCCACCTAAGCCTGGGCCTCTACTTGTTCTTTAGGGATTAATTATTAACAGCAATTAATTTCCATCATTCATGCCACCAAAGGGCTCAGGAATGTGGGCCCAAAAGGGAGGGGTAGATTACACCAAGTTTCTTCCCAAACCCAGGTATCCTACTCCCCCAGGCACACTGGCTTTCTGTGAGAAATCTGGGTAAAGGGGGAACTTTCATCCTTGAATGTTTTGTATTAGTTGTTCTAAAACATCCTATATACTCAGGTGGAGACATGAGTTTCATCAAATACTCTCCCACCCCC